AAAAAGAAAAAAACTAAACAAAAAAAAAAAAAAAACCCATAGATCTATTACAATTACCATAAGAAATTCTACCATGAATCATTGTAAAAGCAATTGAATAAAACGACACCGCTTTACAAGCAATACAGTTAACGTAAGTTTTACTAAAACCATCGTATTTCATTAATCTATTGATTTCATTACTTTCTTGGTCATACAGAAAATGATATTTATACAATACGCTTGAACATTCAACTAATAACAATAGGATAGTGGTTTGTTCGGCAAGAGTCTTATAACGACAGCGGTTAACCATACAAATGGTTATGCCGAACCATGTGCATCTTTAGTCGTTAATAGTTTTCTAATACACAAAAACCAAAATGCGTTTTAGAATCCATATTTAACTTAGTCATATTTGGTACACTTATTTATTCTTAATTCTTTAATCATATAGGTAATGGTATTGTGATTCCTAACTATGGATTTTTTTTTTTTTTTTTAATTATTGCAAATCTTGTGCTTCAAAACCATTATTTACCGTACAATTTACAGGTGCAAATCTCTGAACAAACAAGTAAACATAAAGCAAATATTACAAAGAAGGGACATCTCAAAACAACACAAACTGCCAACAATAACAATAGCGGAACTTTCAATTCTGAAGACACTTGTAGAAGCTAAAAATAAACAAGCTTTGCTACTACTCGGAACACATTTGTTCTTCATCAAACATGATACACATATGGGATTACAACTACTGATTACAGTTTGCCAAAAGTATAAAATGCAAGCAATATATCACACTGTCGTTGCTCTGCTTACTGTACATTACAATAGAGGTATAAAAATTCTAATGAAATTACTAAAACTACCTAATCATTTCTACAAACTAAAATATTGCAAGGAAGAATTCAAGTCACTGACTCCAATTGCCACAATTCTCATTAAAAGACGAATTTTTGGGACTTGCAACAAGGAGAATCAAAATCGTATACACTAGGACAGATCAACGTCACCAAAAAATATCACATGTCATAGATGTAACATGGATTATGAAATAGTTTGTATGAAATTTAATTTTTAGTAAGTTTCTTATGTAATTTCTTGCACATGTAAAAATTTAAATGCTTTTTAGTTTAATCTAAAAGTAGAAGTTAAAACTCACTCAATTATCTACGATTGATCCAAATAATTAATAACTTATAAAGAAAAATTGATCACAAAATTACAATGATGAGTAAAACGTAAACAATATTTGATAAAAATGTTAAACACCAATGATTATGAGAATCTCAAATAATCAAACACGTTAGACAAACAACCATCTAAATACTATTCCTATAACATATCAAAAAAAATTCCATTTCATTATTGATTAGTGTTGAGTGAAGCTTCAAATGGTGTCGTGTTGGAGTACGCAATACGCTGTCGTTTTGAAGTTTTATTAAGTGACAGATCTCAACCTTTGGTTTCAGTCTAATCCAACTGTGCAAATGAAGCCTTGAGGTCAACCTATATAAAGCTGAAATTACACAGAAACGCACAGCAGCTTTTCATCCTCTCTATCGCGTTTTTTCATCTCTACTAGGTTTTCATTCTTAGTTTGGTTAATCTTCAATTTGTGTGATCTGTTGCAATTTAGTGGGTAAATTATGAGTAGAAGAAATGTTAGGTTCTTCTGATTGAGACGCTTATAGTAGTTGTCTTTGAGAGTAGATTATGGGTGATTGAAGGTTGGATGATTGTGTGATTTGAGTGGTTGTTCTTGATTGAGTTGTAATCTGTAATTGGATTGATCCTTATAGTGCAGTGAGCCTCCATTTTACTTGGAGCTCAACGTGGACATAGTTTATTCCTTTGGGATAAACGAACCATGGTAAAATTGGTTATGTTCTTGGTTCTTGTTTTTCGTTATTGTTTGTGTTGTTTCTTAAGTGTTTGCTGGTCGTGTTTGATAAGGAACTGGTTAGATTTGAATTTGATTGATTCTTAACAATTAGATTAAATTCCACACCGAACCACAACATATTTTGGAAACCCGCCTGTCGAACCATTGTTAACTATTTATTACGCTTTCCTTTAATGCGCCACAAACAGTTTGCTACCGTTTCATATCCCATTACCCAGTAAGTTATCAACACTTTTTCAATCAATGTGTTTATCTATTACTAGATATCTGTTAATTTTTCCAGAGCAACTTTTATATTGTTTGATATAGCACCCCAGAAATTGATTGGGTTGTCATGTTCTCAACTGCTAAACAAGGCAAAGATCAGAAAGTAATCCCAAAAACTTTCAATAAACTGTATAGATAGGCATACGTTTTCAAAATCAATATGAGGATTATGTATGTGAAGGAACCATCGGAATTTTATACTATGACAAAAATTCTCGCATAAAAGATTAGTTCAAATTTATTCAATCTGTTTGTTTTCTATTTCTATTTAGATAAAACAAATCAAAATATATTCTAATGTGAAGTAACAAAATTTTAATTACAAAACTAAAATACCAGATAAAACATAAACAATATTTAATATTTTAATAGATATATAATAACAATATTAGACAAAATTGTTTATGAAAATGATAAAAAAAATTAAACATATTCAACAAACATCAATCTAAATATATTATAATCTTAATTAAAAAAATATATATAAATAACCATTTCTATTACAAATTTAAAAAAACTTTTATAGCATTATTGATTAAACAAGACCCAAGCCGAACTATATGCATGTTTCATAACCATATTGCAGAACCACAATTAAAAAATTAATAAATATATTATGACATCATCATATCATCTTTTACTTGGATACTTAACAAAATATTTATTGCCCTTCCTTTAAAAATGTATCAATAAGATTTTATTATTAGTAAATAACAATATTTATTTATTATGATATCTCAACATCTTGCCAAACCATCATTAATTACCTAACTAATATGTTGCACACTTAACAAAATATTTATTACAGTTTTCTTTAATATTATACAAATAGTCTACTAACGTTTCGTATTACCTTATCCAAACAATTATTAACACTTTTTCGATTGACACGTTTATTTATTACTAGTTGTCTATTCAGATTCCACCTCTTCGTATCATATTCTCCTATAAATATTACTCTAACATCAATCACCCATTTAACTTTCTTCAAATACCATACGCTTTAATTGTTCATTTCTTCTCCACAACTTAATTCAAAAATGTCTGACAAAACATCACAACCAAAAGAATCTACAACGAATATCAGCAACGACCTTAACAACAATAATTCTCCACCAAGGCAACCGGAAGGTATGAATGTTTCACATCTTTTGTATCCTAAATTACAAAATGTCAAACAAAACGATGATACATATTCGCAGGAATATAAAAACCATAAAAAAAAACTTTTTTGATATGTCGAGAGTTTATTTCATAATTATATTTACAGATTCATGTTACCGTTTCCATATATTTATAAAAGTTTATTGTATATTGTTTCTACAATTGGTTTAGACATTTTTCAGGGAATGCCGGAATTGAGGGAAATTTTCAAAAAAGTTGACACCAATCTAGATGATCTACATACTGCTAGAGACAAATTCAGAGAAGTCATTAACCAGATGTTAGAAATCATGCAATATGCCATGGATATTATCTATAACATAAACAAAAGAGAATATGCATTTGCACTAGAGGAACTGAACAACTATAAGAGAAATAGAAAATAAGCACCATCTACATCATCTAAACCCACTTCACAGTATGAAAAACTGATGTACTTATTTCTTTTATAATAAAAGTATTTTCTCTATGTTCAACTTTATCTTGATTTTAATGTTACTCGTTAATTGATTGAAAACTGTTCCTTTAATTGACGCATTGCATTTACTGTTTAATGAATCTACTAAAAATTCTCCATCTTGACATGTTGGTTTTGATTTAATTCTTCCATCTTCACACATTTGATGAGTATTAATAATAATTATATAAGTACATTACATAGGCATTCCAAAAATCCAACCATTTTAAATAAGAACGTATAAAGATGGAAGTTAGTCTCTCCATATTCTGTTTTGTAGTTCTACAATTATTAACCCAGAAATTAATTGAGTTATCATATTCTCAACTGTAAAACAAACAAAGTCTTTGAATGAACTATGTGAATAGACGTTTATTTTCAAACATTGGCTGAGGATTACTGATTTTAAAGAAATATATGAATCCTATACTGTGAGATAAAAATTTACCAGTCAATGTTAAACTTGAAAATGAATATAACTTACAGAAATTGCAAAAACTCAATATAAATTTTAAGTTTAAATAATTGATATTGATAATATTAATTAATATTAATAATTATAAAGATACAATTATTAATTTTATCTTAACACAACTCTGTACATATATATAATTTATATTTACTCTAAAACTTATAAAATGTAATGATTATTATCTCTTAATTTAATAACACTTTATTATGTTAAAGTAAATTTGTTTACAACCTATTTTAAAAACATTAAACAAACATACTCGTACAATACACGAACCCCATGTCTAGTTATAGATATAAGTTTAGATAATAATGAAGTTCTTAAAACAAGTTAAAACTACATTTTGTAAGCAGTAATATTACCGGTCTTTGGGTGGACTCTAATTTAACATAGATTACCTATCAAATATCAATAATGTTACTAACATATTATGTACCCAAACCCTTATTCTAAACTTATAAACTCTTTCTATTTCACATAAAAAAGCACACAGCAAAACATTAATTTATTGAAAAAAAATCTTCCAAGAACAATTACCAAAGATATTGTGGAAGAAGGGTTGATGTATCCATGGTCTAATTCAGTGCTAAGCTATACAAAAAGAGGGCTGAAAAGTTTCAGTTCATTACAATCTACATTCTACACAACATACAAATTATAAACTGCAGTAAATCAAGGTTTCCAAAATTCCATCAAAATCCACGAACATGTTTAGTGGGGATGGGAAATACATTAGAAGAAAAGACATGTTAAGATGCAGAGAGTGGGATAGGCTTTACAGCGCTTTGAATTCGTCGAAATGCTGTTCTCACTCTTTCCTTGAGGCCTTCATTTTCACTCTCAACATCTCCACCCTGTATATCAAGATGTGCCACATTCCCATCAACGCCTATCACGAGCTTTCCATTCTCTCCTAATTTCACATCTCCAAAGAGTGAGACAAGCAGTGCATAAATAACCTTTTCCGCTTTCTTCCCACTTTCTTCCTCAGATTTCACAGCTTCGGATTCAATGACTACCTTAGGGATCTCTCGACTGATATTTAGAACGAGTGCCACAATAGAATCTGATACCATGTCACTTATAGGATCTGAAGTCCAATGCATTGAAAGATGCTTCTCTGAGTCTTGCTTCAGAGTTACTCGATCATGCACTCGCAATGTGGGAACCCCAGACTCCTCATCTGTTGATGACTCGACACTCTCATATATCTGTTCAAGTCGAAACTTTACCACACCTAAGGCACCAGAGTATGGGATAGTAATCCTTTGAGTAATATTTGCTGTGGATAGCTGTGAGAAGATGTGGAGATCATCAGGAGCCATTATCTGATAAGTGAAACCTTTCTTTACAAGTATACCACTGACCGTCTCACCAACTTCTGGGGTTTTCTCGGCCAGCCTTCCAATGGTTTTGGCCATCTTTTCCGAATTAAAATACATTTCAACAGACTGACAATTCCTTGGGGTGATAATTTTGGTGTTGCAATCCGCAAACTCAGTCAGAAGCTTCATTTTGAGCCTTCCCATTTCATGCGATTCACCATGAACAAGAATTATGTTAGGAGGCATGAGTTCTTTCAAAAATGTACTTCGAGCATTTCTATGCTTTGTGAATGTTAATACCTTGTAAATATGAGAAATGGGTTGTTGGATTGGCAAGGTAGTTGAGATGGTTTGAAGGGGTGTTATGAAACCCTTTTTAGAAGTGTTTTTATTGACAGGTTATTATGGCTTTGTGAAGGGTTTTTCCCCATTTGGATGGTTAGGAAAAGTTTTGATTCATGGCTATGATAGAGTTTAGTGCACATGAGTTGTTTGATGAATGTCTAATAGAGAATTGAGTGTGAGTAATGACCTTAATTCTGCAACATTGCATGTTGGCATTTCACAAGTGCATTAGTAGAGATGAATCATCCATGTGCATTGTTATATGCATTGACAAGTGACCTAGAAAGAGTAGGAAATTTGTGTTTAGAAATACCCTATGAGTAGAGAGCTTAGTGGGTAAAAACTCTAAGGGTAGAGAGCATTGAAAAATGCTACAATAGAATAGTTAGAAGAGTGGTATAGTTGGGATGATGCTTTGTGATCATCACCCGACCGTATGGGAATCGGATTGATGCTTTGGAACATCATCCGAATAGCCCTTAGAGATGGGTTATGCTTTGTGATCGTCACCCAATGAGTAATAGAAATGGGTAGATGCTTTGTGACCACTACCCGATTAGTTAAGAGATATGTAGGTTGATGCTTTGTGATCATCATCCAATGGCGATAGAAGCGGGTTGATGCTTGTGATCATCACCCGATAGTGACTAGAGACGGGTAAATGCTTGGTGTCGTTACCCAAATTCATGAGGAACGGGTAGGTGCTAGTGATCTCCACCCGATAGTTAGGAGGACCGAGTTGGTGCTTTGTGATCCTCACTCGTAGTCCTAAGAACGGGTTGGTACTGTGTGGAATTCCACCCGATAGCCATAGAGAATGAGATGGTGCTGTGTGAATGCCATTCGGCCGTACCTCCGTAAGATGAGGCCATGATGTTATAGAAACAGAAAATAAAACGAAAATAGAAACAGAAATAGAAACAGAATTAGAAAAGGAAAGAATTAGAGTCACACACGGGACAGACAGTTAGAAGGTTTTACTTACTGAGCATTATTGTGTCTCACCCCGTTATTTTCCTTTGTATGCGGTTCTAGGTGTTGTGCGTTGAGGGGCGTCGGCGCGCGAGGAGAATAGCTACACTGTTCCCCTATTTTGTCTTTTGAAATGCACTTTTGTAAACAGTAACTTTTGTGTATAAAAGACATGTGAATTGTAATGAAAGAAACTTTTTGGGCCAAATTTTCCATTGTTAATTGCATGCAGTACTAGTTTTCAGTAGGTGTTACAATTAAATTACCCAAGACCACAACCGGACTTGGCCACCATTGTTGATTGCCAACCATCGTCATCAGAACGTGCACGATCGGCCATATCTGGTTGGTTGTGCGTCGATCTGGTAGAATTCACCAAATCCATGGCCTTTTCGGCTAGATCCATGGATCTAGCATTTATCTGGTTGTCGAAAACTTACTAGACGTGTGCATTTTGGCCATATGCACGATCGTGTGCCATTTTGGCGACTATCGACTGTGGCCGACGGCCAAAAATCGTCTTGTGTACCTAGGGGTTTTTGGCCAATTTTTTAAGTTTTATTATAGCTGGGGTGTTTTAGCTTAATTCTCAAATGTAGGGGGTTAAAAAAATAATCCAAATAATATAATAATATTAAAAAAAAAAAAGGCCAATTCAGTAAAAGGCTTCTCCGACTTTTATTTCTTCCAACCAAACATATCAATATAACTACCAACAAATTTATTTTAGTCTAACCAAACATATTTAATATAACATTCCCATTAATCTTCAAGATAATTTATCTTTTCATTAATATAACATTCCTTGAACCAATGTCCCCATAGAGTTATCGAGGTTTCCGTCATCTGATTAACACACTTTACCCTTGGTCTAGTTAATTATACATCGAACCTAACCACAACATTACTGGCAAGGGATAAATTGTTGTTTCAAATACAAAAAGAGCAAATTTTTATTTAATGATACATCAAAGAAATTACAATTAACTCTACATAATTTGTTGTAAACGAGGCCATTTAGAGAAACTAAACTGATTGGATTTATTGTTATTTTGACCAAATCTCATCGGAATCAATTGAATAGATAATATAATTATTCATTAGGAAATTATATTATTTAGCCCTATTTAGGGTGTGAATCGAAAACTAGCCCAAAAGTAGAAAGTATCTCAAAAAATAGTCTAACCCAATTTTTGTAATTTTTAAGGATAAAATTGCTCCCATTCATAAAGTTGAAGGTAAAAAATGATTGATACCCACCAATAGGACTTACAGGGGATACTGTAAATCGATAAGGGGGATCGAGCATCGATAGGACTTAAGGGTGTTAGACTATTTGTGAGTGATTTTCCACTTGAGCTAGTTTTCAATTCACATCCTAATTAGGGCTAAATAATATATTTCCTATTAATTATTTTATTATTGGCAAGTTTGGAAGTTGTAGATATATTCTTAAACTTGGAAGTGATGGATGAATATAAACTACAACATTTTTTGCAATTATTTCAGAAATATATTATCCGAGGAACTAGTTTCCCCTTAAAAAGATTAGGATTGCCTTGCCTAAAACATTTGGGTAATTTATATAAGTCTAGATAATTAAAGTTTTTAATACAAGTAAAAACTTGTTAGGATGGGGTAACTTACCGGTCTTTGGGTGGATCACGATATACAGCAAGATTCCAATTTCATATGAATTTACTAACCAATTTACATTCAAAATACTAATCCAACATAGATTGACTATTGTAATACCCACATTCAGAAATATGGTAGAGATATTTTATGTCATAGTGAATATATTTAACTAGTTTTAAGAGGAATTCCATAAAGTTTCAATAGGGGCAAAATGGTCATTTCACATAGAATCACGTGTTCAAGTGAAAAGTGAGTATGATAAATATAATGTGTAAGTGTGTAGCCATGGAATAGAGTGGTAGAAAGTCATGGACATACATGTGATGTGATGCCGAGATAAATACGTGTTTGTAAAATAATCAGAAATTAAGAATAAGGGTAACATGGTCTTTTCACTCACAACTAGATAAAAAAGTGGGGAGTAAAAATGACCAGAAATGTGTTAAATCCATTGAAAGTGAGAGTATATTGGTAAATGCACGTATGGCATAATTGGAATTATCATAAAAGTGCAAGGGTAAAATGGGAATATAAATATATTTATTTAGTTATAAGGTGTCAATAATTAAACCCTAGCGATTCCACCCTTGTACACGCCACCCCTCATCCAATTTCTCTCAAATTTCTTCACCAAATTTCAAAGAGAATTCATAGGATTAGCTTAAATTTTATAGATTTTCAATCCTAAAGCATCCAAGGTCCAAGAGGAATAAATTTTAGCAAAAGGAGGTTATATCATTAGTGTTTCACAAATTCAAGATATTAGATTGTAGTGGTTGGGAGACGTCAAGCTAGCGAGAGGATTTGTAATAATTCTTTCTAGCTAGTATACTTTAGGAAATATTATGAAGTCACTAAATATATCAAGAAATATATTGTATTCAAGTACAAAATAGTGGCTCAAAAATTTTCTTTACTTTTTATACTAAATTCCTTACAACAACAAAAGTATCATATACATACTCTCAAAATATGGTGGACAGTAGTGCCATTCCCCTTTGCTTCTCGACGTTCCATCCGACCGCTTCTCACCTATTCCTGCAAAAACTGAGAAATCCACGAGTGGCACTAATTGCTCAATAAGTAAATCCGCTATGACCCCCTTCTATCTCGTTGCTCACATTCTGAATTTCTTTCCTTACATTACACTTTTCTATTCTTCTCGATTCTCTCTTTGTTCTTTCTTATGTCTAGTTCTCTCTGTTCTTTCTCTTTTCTATCACTTTTCACTACTCATGATAGTAGGCATGTATCATGCATAGGTATGATGCAAATGCACAATGTATAGGATGTGCTTTTTTCTTTCTGCTTTTCTATTTCTTATTCTGTTTTTCTTTCTTTTTTGTGTTCTTTCTATTCTTTCTTTCTTTCTTTTCTTCTTATTTTTTTCTTTCTTTCTTCTTATCTTTCCTGATCGGACTCAATTGGGCATGGATTTAGAACCTTGGCCTTGTGAGTGAGTATAGTCCTCATCTATATGCATTTCTTACGGACTGTACAAATTTTTCTTCTTCTTCTTAGGCCGTTCACTAAGCGGCGTGCATGTAGATATTTCTTCGGATACAGTCCTCATCCACATGTACTCTTACGGACTGTACCAATTCTTCTTTTTATTCTTAGGCCGCTCACTGAAGGAGGCGTGCATGTGGAATATTCTTCTTCTTGTCACTCACAGGTTCCCTATCGCAACAACCTTATTTTCTTTTATCTTTCTTTTAGAAATTAGTATTCAATTTCTTTTCTTTTCTTTAGTAATTTTCTTTCTTTCTTTGTTCTTTAGTGTGCTTATATGCATGTATGCATGTAAATGACTTTTTCTTATTGTTCTTTCTCAATTCAAATGTTAAATGCAAGAATGCAATATGGCATGTAAACATGTCATTCTCTACTTTCTCAACCATCTACAAGCTCATATCAAAATATAAATCAACATACTCATACATGTACTTCTCTATGAAATTTCATCAAACACTTTGTGTGCACAAATAACATTAAAGTGATTACACTTCCATAACAATCTCTAACCACCAAAATTTTGGAGCAAAGCTCCCTAAAAATAACTTAAAACGTGGCCAAGAAAATACAATCCATAACTCTACTCAAATTCTTGCTTATCTCATCCAAACTTCCATCAATTTCTATAACCACAATCATCACTCCACATAGTGTAATTCTAACCATGAATTATCACCAATTCCATCAATTCTCATACTACAAGCTATAATACAATAAGAAATTCTCTACTCAAGTATTGCTCAAACCATGACTAGGATTGGATTTACTTATCCTGA